GACGAAGATGATATCGGAGACGGTTAGTGTTTAACGAGGTCGACGAAGATGATTTAAGATATCGGAAACACCGTTTGAAACGAGAGTATTAGTTGTGACGGAGATGATTTCGGGATTTCGTAATCGGTTAGGGTTTAACGATAGTTGTGACGGAGAAGAATGTAACATTAAGACTTTTTTTTTGTTCACCGGAGATATGAGACTGTTGATTTTCCAGTGTAACTGATGACACATATTAGTTAGTGACGTGGATTGTCAAATTATAATGTGGATTTAATAATTAAAATTTATATCAATAGTAACAAAATTAAACAAGGGTGTTTATTGTAATTTACTAGAAGTCTAAAAACATTCTAGTAATTTTTAGAAAATATATTTTATTCTAATCATATACAAGCTTTTGTGTATCATTCTAATAATTTTCTCTAAAAATATATTAGTAAATAGTAGTTAAACGACTCTCGAGCGTTTTCCTCATTACAAGATGTTCTAAGTGAGTTTGCTTGTGGTCTTTCAAATCAAAGAGCAAACTTCATTGTTACCCTTAATCTTTGACAATCAAACTATGATTAGTTTGGTTTCAGGAAAACCTATTCATTATACATTTGTTTTATATAATTGTTACGAAGAAGATACAACTATTTTACTATCACTATTTAATTTCTCTTGACATAGAGAGAAATAAATTGTATATATTGAGTAACTAATATAAATCGTTTCTATATAATTAACTAGGTAAAAGAGACTAGGTAATAAATTGAGACATATATGAAATGAAACATTTTATAAAATGTTTGATTACCAAATAAAAACTAAAAAATCTTTTAAAATAATAGTCAAAGATATGTAAAATATATTATATTATTTTAAATAGTTAAAATTGTTAAAGTATTTAAATTTTTATCAATTCAGGTATGATACATATTTCTAAAAATAGGAATTAAAATATTTATTAATTTTATATGATATATAGTTAACTTTAAATGATAATTAAATATATATATATTTATATATATATATGGTTTAGCATGAATATCTAATATCTAGTAAATGAGACTTTTTATTCATTGGTTTAATGATAATTTGTAGTATATAATTAAAATTTTAATCGATCACAGAATTTTCAGTTTAAACTTTGATAGTAATTTTTAATCGTTTTCAAAAATTCAAAATACTTCATGCATGGTTTTGTTTTCTTATATGGCTAATGTGATTATTAAATTTAATTTAGATTCTAAAATATGAAGTTAAAATAATAATAGTACAAGATATATAAATTGTTATTAAATATTATCGATTTTCATATTTATTGTCAATCACATCAGGTAACATTTTAGTTTTTAATTTAAGGAAAATTGTTTTTTTTTTTTAAAAAAATTGATTAATTAGTAGTCCACTTATTATATTTGATTGGAGAAAAAAAATAAACCATCAATTATTTGTATGTGGAGGAAGTAATATTTATAGTAACTTAAGCTCTTTCTTTTTTAATATGGACTTTGAAAAGAATTTGGTGTTGACACCTTAGCCATTGGCTACAACGTTACCATTTAAAAAATGTTGCTAAACTAATATACATTACAACTTTATAAATTAATGATATCGAGATTAGAAAATTGGATAATAATTTTTTTAACAGAAATTATATTTAAAAATTTTTTTAGTGTATAAAATGAAAATATTATTCCCTTCATGACATTTTATATCAGTAAGAATTTATAGATTCAAAATTTAACAATTTTTATTTGATTATTGATACAGTTTATGTATTATAAATGCATATTAAAATATTAAAGGTAGACATAGACCAAGTATTTGGAATTTTTAATATATTTGGTATTCTGTTTGGCTTGTGCGAGTAGTTCAATTTTAAACTTATATTTGATTTTTTTTAAAATGGAGTATTTTTCAGTTTCAAGTATTTATTGAAAATAGAGGATAACTAATTATTATTTTTTTGAAATTATCAGATATTTTAATTTAAACATCCGATTTAAATTGGAAACGTCTAAATTAGTTGATAGAAATTATAAAATGAGGTAAATCTATTATTATTAGAAAGATTCATGGCAAATTTATTTATATGTATATTAACTATCAAGCTATATAAATGAGGTAAACATGTTTGGCCAATTCACCAATGTGTGTCTTGTTACACGTGACATTGATTTTGGTTCCCTTTAAAAAGATAAAAATAATTATATTGGTTAGCTTGTATGTTAACAAAATCAATATATAGAATCACAAATCTATATAAGGTATTAAACTTACATTAGCATCATATATGATTAGTTCCATAAATGCTCCAACGTTTTTCATGAAATGTCTCAATCTATCAATGATCTTCACTTGGATATGACATGCCGTCTTGTGTGGTTTAATATCATTCAATAAAGTTAGCTACATATTGTCCGCCATTTTTTTTTGTATCTGTAGGTCTGATGAATATCGTGGTTAACTGATCGTATATTTATAAAAGATAAGTGGTATATCGGATTTAGATTACGCAAATGTAGGTCAGAATATTTTAAAGATTTGATAAAATATGTAAGTCTTTGGAATAAGGAGTATTATGTGAGAATATTGCAATTAGAAAAAACTTTTTCTAAGAGTTAATGCTAATCCAATTAAAGTAGATTAGCGATAATTTTGTAAGAATAAATAAAATAATAACTAATTGTGATATTAAATAAAACTTGTAGACGAAGTAATATAAATATTTAGGGATTTTGTTACTAAATATCGTATATACAATATACCGTTAACTAAAAAATTTGCTAAATACATTTAAATCGATTATCCTTTTTAAATTGGTCATATACAATATCGTATATACCAATATATTGTTAATTTAAATTTGTAACTATCAACCAATCATATATACAATATATAGTTAATTAATATTTGTAATTATTAGTCAGTCAAAACTATAGGTGTCTGAATTATGGACTCAAACCTACTAAGACCTATAGAAACGGATCCAAACTAAAAACAATCAAATATCCTATTAGGTCCAAATGTCTAGGATCTACGAGATCTCGACCACAAGAAACCTATCCCTACTTGACCCGAATGCCTTTTCATACTCTCTCTAATTATATTTACTGTATTTTATAAAAAGTGTATTTGTTGAATCAATAATACTAAAGATTTGCTTGACATATTTTGGATAATTTAATATTATGCGAGTATATTGCAATTAGAATAAACTTTTTTTTTTTTAAATTTCTAAGAGTTAATGCTAGTCTAGTTAAACTAGATTAGCGATAATTCTGTAAGAATAAGGAAAATAATAACTAATTGTGATATTAAATAAAAATTGTAGACGAAATAAGAAAAATATTTATGGATTTTGTTATTAAATATCGTATATACAATATATCATCAGCTAAAAGATTTGCTCAATAGATTTAAATTGATTTTCTTTTGTAAATTGGTCATATACAATATCGTATATATCAATATATTGTTAATTTAAATTTGTAATTATCAGCCAATCATATATACAATATATAATTAATTTAAATTTGTAAATAGGTATTTGAATTATGGATTCAAATCTATTAAGACCCATGGAAACCGACCGAAACCAAAAAAAAATTCAAATATCTTATTAGATTCAAATGTTTAGGACTTTGAGGACTGAAACCCACAAGAAACAACATATATGTACTTGATCCGATGCCCTTTCATATTCTCTCTAATTATATTTTACTGTATTTTATAAAAATTATATTTGTTGAATCGATAATATTTAAGACTTACTTGGAAGATTTTGGATAATTTAATAGTATAGATTTATATGGTTTTTTCCTAGCTTTTAAAGTTATAATAAATAAAAAATCTTTTTAATAATAAATAACAGTATAGATTCAATTAGTCCACATATATAATGATGATTCTATTTTTTTTATAAAAAGAATGCGACTAAATAACCAAGACATATCTCTTCTGATAAACCACAACCTGAGATATTTTTTCTAGTATACAACATCATCATCCATAAGAACTTTATTTTAATATTTTTAACTAAAATATGATTATTTTATTTAAATCAACAACTTAACTAAATATATTTATTTATGAAAATTATAAAACTTAAAATGACATATTTTGAGTATCTCATAATTCTTAAAAAAATTAAGATGATTTTTTTAAATTATTTCTCATATTTTATTTCATTTGACATTATTGTTGAACTGAAATATTCATTAAGATATTTTCAATAGATATGCTCGTATATTTTGACCTTGGGTATCTAGAAAATATTATTGTCATTAAAATAATAAAATTAAATAGAAGTTTGTTTCTCTTTTTAGAGATATTTTTCTTTATAATAAATAGGAAATGTATCTGAAACTTTTTATTTTATTTTAAATGTAGTGTATCTGAAACTTGTTTGACTGCAGATGCTCGTGCTCAATATTCTCCTTCTAAACTGTCTTATTTGGTAAACATTCATAAGGAAATGTACACTTTTTTTTCTTTTCTTTCAACACTGATAAAAAGACTAGAAGCATTAGCTTCGGTAATATCTGCAAGTCTTCACACCTCTCTGTTCGCCTGGGTATATGCTCTACTTTGCTTCTTGTCTTAAGAAAAATTGAATCTTTCGATGGCAAACAGTGTTTTGGGTTAGAATTGTATCCTAAGATTCGATAGTTGTTTTAGAGAAGCGCTTTTATTACAAGCTTAGGGCTGTAAATGATTTGCATGAAATAATTGAAAAAGAGCTTCCTTTAGTGAACTCATCTTGAGAAGGAGTTTCATTTTGAGTAACCCAGAACGATTTAGTGTAAAAGATTGGCTTTTTAAAATATCTGAAACTGTTTTTCTTTCATCTAGGCTTGTTTAGATTGCTATCTTATGATACGTGTTCCAAGACCAACCACTTGTTCTGTGGTTTGTTGTGGTGGTTAGAATTGGCATTAATGATATGATTAAACTATCTATCTACCGCAGATTATTGTTCAATACATTGTATTACTGGGAGGGGGCTGTAAGCTTTAATGGGCATTGAAGGTTTACACAAAAGTTCAAAATCTGGAAATGTGGACAAGTTCTTGTCACCTCCACCAGGCTTTGAAGGTTGTTCGAAATCTGGAAATGTGGACAAGTTGTTGTCACCTCCACCAGGCTTTAAAAGTGTGAACACAAGTTCGAAATCTGGACAGGTGGACAAGTTGTTGTCACCTCCACCAGGCTTTAAAGGTGTGAACACAAGTTCGAAATCTGAACAGGTGGACAAGTTGTTGTCACCTCCGCCAGGTTTTGAATCTCAGATAAGGTTTCTGCTTAAGAAGATACATGGAGGTGGAGAAAGTTCTTCCAAGTCAGTGCCGAGACAAGAGCAGATAAATAGATACGGTACAGGTGATGCAGATAGTTTCCAGAAGCAGCTTAACAGACGACCGTGGATTGTGCATGATCATACAACGAAACCTGAGGTCCCATTACTATGTCTACCTCTTTCTCCTGTCTCTAACTTATTATGCTCTTGTGGTGAAGCTAGTCATGTGTATATATATATATATATGTGTGTGTGGATCTGTTTTCTTATCATCTCTCGGTTCTTTTGTCTACCAAAGACATTCTTTGAAGTGGAGATCTTCTTGAATGTGTGCTAAGTCATGGTAATAGACACTAGGCTTGATGTATAAGATGTTGGTTAAGGATAAAACTTTTCCTTGTTGTGGATTGCATATAGCCACTTATGGTCTTAGTTACTTTAATACCTGCTCTAAATGATTTAGCATGAACATTTTGGAGCTTGATGTGTCAATTCAAGTTAGCTTTAGTATGCTTTTAGATGTATGACAATGTAGGTATCAAAAGTGTATGTTGAGTCTTTACTAAGTATTTACAAATTCATTTCTCAGGTACGGCCAAGACGGCTACCGAGAGTCTCCAAGAAGGTAGTCCTTGAGAAAGCTCCAGTGTTTAACCCAACCGAAGAGGTTAGTTTTGCTTTGATTTTTATGGAAAGAAAAATTAGGGTATTAATTGGTTTACGTCTTCTTTGGTAAACAATCATGCATGCTTAGAGATGAAGAGGTTTACTTATTCTCTAACCTAGAGTTACTGAATTGTCAGGAATTCAGTGACACTCTCTCTTACATTGCAAGCTTGCGTGAGAGATCTGAGCCTTATGGAATCTGTTGTGTGGTTCCTCCTCCTTCATGGGATCCTCCATGTCTTCTTGGGGAGAAAAAAATATGGGAAAGTTCCAGATTTTTCACTCAAGTTCAGATCTTTGATGGAGTTCATACCGAGGACCCAAAGATTAAAAAGGAGGCTGATGCTGATAGTGATGATGATGATACGTTTGACAAGGTTAAGTTCTGTAGAACAGAACTTGGTAATGAGTATACTTTGGAGACGTTCAAGAACTTTGCAGATTCATACTTGGAGAGTCATTTTCGCGTAAAGGAGAAGGTTCTGGCTTCCATGTATTCTTCTCCATCTGTAGACGCATGGCCAACGGTGGCAGACATTGAAAAAGAGTTTAGAAAACTTCTTGAGAATCCACTTGTTGATTTAGGGGTAATGTTCAAAATCATGTTTATTCAAATATATGAAACGGGCTATAACACTAACTCATGGTGTATATTAGGTGCTTTATGGGAATGATATAGACACCAAAACGTTTGGCAGTGGATTTCCCTTATCTGGATCATCTGAATCTTGCAACTACAAAACATCAGGTTGGAATCTGAACAATACAGCCAAGCGTCCTGGCTCTCTTCTATCGTTTGACGATTGTGAATCAGTTTGTGTTCCTCGCCTAAGTGTAGGAATGTGCTTGTCTTCTCAGTTGTGGGTAAGTTTTATTGTTGATGTCAGTCTAAATAGCATTTTTTTTTTTTTTTGCAGCGTTTTTTAAGTTGTGCAATCTAATTTGCTTGTATAGTCTCTCATATAATATCTGTTGATGAACAGAAGTGTGAGGAGGAGAGACTCTACTCGCTCTGCTATCTGCATACAGGTGCTCCTAGAGTGTGGTATTCTGTTGCAGGGTGTCATCATCATAAGTTTAAGGCTTTCATGGAGAGTTTTGTCCCTAAGATGTCAGGAGAACAGTTAAAGAAGAGTTATGATTCTGTAAGTACTTCAACACATTACGCACTTATTCAAGTCACTCTTTTAGAAAATTGACATGCCAAATAGATCACACTGCATAGCTTTGACGACTTTAGTGAACTGTTAAATACTTAATAGTCTGCGGTTAAATCATTTGGCAGGTGATGGCAATGTCTCCATATGCGTTGCACATGGAGGGTATACCAGTGACCCGGTGTGTCCAGAACCGTGGCCAGTATGTTATATTGTTTCCAGGGACGTATTACTCTGCCGTTGACTGTGGCTTTAACTGTTTGGAGATAGCGAATTTCGCTACCCTTGATTGGTTACCACATAAGGAAGTTGATGCTCTGCAGAACCAAGAGAAGAAAAGAAAATCGTTATTATCATATGATAAGATATTGTTTGGAGCTGCAAGTGAAGCTGTTAACTGCCTTAAGGAATACTCTTTGTCCAAGAAAAAAACAGCAAATATGGTGAGATGGTTTAATGCTTGTGGTAAGGAGGGGATGTTCTCGAACACTGTTAAGGTATGCTCACCCTTCTTCTTTGTTTGTCTTAGGAACTTGCTCACTACCTTTTTACTTTGCTCTCTTTTATGTAGTCACGGGTTAAGAAGGAGAAAAGCAGAGTTCAGTTCCTTAGTAGTCCACTAAAACCGCAAAGGATGGATATTGATGATGTGAGCAAGAGGGCATGCTGTGTATGTTTTGTGGATTTACATCTTTCCGCTGTAAAATGTTCATGTTCTACTGATCGTTACTCGTGTCTGAGCCACATGAGGGATCTCTGTCCCTGTCCGTGTTACAAGAAGAGTTTTCTCTATAGGTATACCATCGATGAGTTGAACATTCTTGTTGAGGCGTTGGAACAACTCAAGCTCAGCTCTATGTTCAAATGGGGAAACATAGATTGCAACTATTGTGCTGCTCCTGCCATCAGAAGTTCACAACCTGGAGACAAAGGCAAGAAAACAGATGAGGTTATGACTAGTAACAACAACAACAACAAAAGGACTGATGTTGAAGCTGGAGACAAGAAGCAGAAGGTGAGATCGATCATAGAGATGCTGAATGTCAAAGAGGAAAATGATGATGAGTAAGGGCCTGTGAACCCTAAACCCTTGTTCTAATATATCAACGCTGTCAACACGGCAAAGAAACAGAAGCAGGGATGAAGGTAAAAGGAATATTTTGTTTTTAAGTAGTTTAGTCAAACAAAAAAAAGGTTATGTTGCATTTGTTTCAAAACAGTTTTGTTTTGTTGGTGGGTCGATTATTGCACTGCATGGATTTCAAGGAGTATAATGTAAAAGAAACAAATGTAGTTAATGCTTCTCATAACCTCGGATCCAGTTAGTGGGTTTAATAAGATTTTGGTTGAATACAGGTCTCAACCCTACACCAACATTTATTAATCTATTAAGCTGCTGATGATAAAACTGACAGTGGCCTGTCTACCCAAATTTTCTTCAGAGTCTTAATTATCTTGTGTTTTTGTATGTTCTATGCGTTTCTTACTTACATTACATGCCACCACTCAGTTCTGGCTCTGACAAATAGTGTTTTTAGTGTTGGATCTCACTCTGCGATGGTGATGTAAATTTTAATGAGCAAGTGCATGATTGCATATAAAATGACATATTGGGCCGTTAGCTAGAAGGATATGATATGCTATATACTCTGAGAAATGTATTCTCCAAGTGGCTGATCGATTCATATGGTTTCTTATATATCCTTGCAACTATACTGGCTTCTGTGTGATGAATAGATAATGTACAAATTGGTCTCTGGTCTTCACTTATCTGGTGAAAGAACTAGTTAGTGACCCTAAAATTAAAGCAAGCTTGTCCACTACCATTTGATGAAGCTAAGCTAAGCTCTGGAAGGCCAACCAACGTGGACCGAACTGAAACATAAGGTCCTTCTTGAATCCTTAACTACCTTTGTTTCTTTTACATTATACTTAGGGTCGGCCCATATCTGGTAAGGGCCTTACTCAAATTTTAAAAATTGATCCTTTTTCTACTGTAATTATTTTTGGGTATTTGCATCTCCTACCCAAACAATATTCCATAATTAGCTATATACCTATTTATATTATTTTGTACTGTTTATAAAATTTAATGACGATGTTACCCTTTTTCTTAACCTACTACTATACCTCCCCTCCTCCCCTCCTCCCTCATCCTCCTTCCTCCTCCTCGTCCTCCAATCTCCTCCCCTTCGTCCTCCGATCTCCTCCCCTCCTCGTCCTCCGATCTCCTCCCCCGTCCTCCTCCTCTCATTGTCCTCCTCCTCCTCGTCCTCCGATCTCCTCCCCGTCATCCGCCTCTTTCAACCTTGTTTCTCTGCCACTCACAAGTTCAACCACCGCATGCTTCTTTTTATTCAATCCGGCTAAGGGAGAGTCCGCGACGGTTAGGATGCACATCCCAGAGAATCGCGACAAACCTCATAGATCCTGACATGAAATTCTTTTGTTTAATTTTATGGTTTTTTGGATAAATGGGCAGATTGGTAAATTTCATATTTTGAGATCAAAAGTGAAGTCCATTGACGTATTCTCCTAATTTCGCAATTATTTTGGGGTATTGACTTAAATGATTCATAATTTTTTTTTGTTTTTTCAGCTGAAAAAACTCAAAATTTTTGTTGGACTCTAAACCATTGCTTACTCTGCTTGTGTTCTGGGCCGGGTCTGATTATACTCCTTGATGTCCATGCAGTGCAATAATGGACTCTGTAGGCTGTGAGAATTGAAAAATGTCGTCTATGAGGAAAAGCTCCAGATTCTTTGGCCTTGGCACCGCATTGAAAATCCTATTCACTGTCAAACAGGGAAGACAATCTGCGTCATAAAGTGTGTTACTAATAAAACACGCCTGCAGAGACATCGTCCAGTTTTTGTAAACCTGTTGCACTGTCCATTTCTTTACTCGGCCGAGAGAATCACACGAACGAAGTTTAAACGCACTGGATAATTCGATCTTGTTAGAAAAAAGAATTCTATTTGTTATTGTTTAATATTTCTTATTTATCAGATAGGTATATCCGCTATATATTAATCCTGGAGTATTACAACAGTTTTTTTGGTAACTACGTGTTACAATAAAAATGATTTTCAGAACTTTTAGAGAAATATGTTGGTGCAACTAAACATAGTTATATTTTATTAAACTACTTATCATATTTAATTAGTAGTATACAAAATAATATTTTCAATTATTTCCTTAAATAAAAAAATGGAATTAATTAATATGATTAACATATATAACACAATTAATGATTATGAATAATAAATATTTGATAACAAATTTTATCCAATTTAATTTTATTTAATTTATATTATTAAATGAAATTAAACAATCACATTAATCATATAATAAAAAAATTTAGATTTTTTTTATAATATGTTATATTCTGATTTTTTTTAAAACGACCCTAAATTGCTAAAAATAGTAAAAAATTCACATTGAAAATTTTGTGATTAATGGTAATGTTTTTAGTTCAGTCAATTGTTTTTAATGGGTTTTAAATAATTTTTAATGATTAACTAAATAGATCACGTACATAACATAATTTGTTTTGGTTTAAAAAATATTGCATACCCAAAATCAATATGAAGCATCATCCCTTTCAATTAAAATTTTGTTACGATAAAAAAATATAGGGTTGAGCAAAAAAACTGAATCCAAATAACCGAACCAAATCTAATCCAAAAAGTAGTACAGATCTTTAACCAAAATTGGTTAGATATTCAAACGGATTCAAAATTTTGGTACCAGAGAATCGAAACTGAATCGAAATATTTCGGGTATTCGAGTGTACTCGAACCAGATTTATAGACTTAAATATATTAATAATTTTTAACATCTAAAATATAAAAAATACATGAGATGTTTAAAAAATTTCCAAAATACTTAGAAATATATAAAATAGTTAAATGTACATATTTAAAATAGCTAAACGATACTCCAAATAACAAAAAATAATTGCAATATTTATTGATTTTTTGTCCAAATATTTAAGATAAAACAATTCTATGTTAAGTTTAAGTATTTTAGCATTCATTTTTCAAATTTATATGTTATATATTATTTTTATTTTCAGATTTTGAGAAATTTAAAGTATATATCAACTTTAATCTTTTAACAAATAAATAAATGGGTTATCCGAACCTAAACTCAAACTGAACCTGCAAAGATTCAAACCAAACCTGCAAAGATCTAAACCAAACAGAATCTAACCGAACCAAATGGTACCTGAATTCCATCCCTAATCAATTGTAAAAAAGGTTACTGATAAAAAAATATGTATTTAAATACAATATATTTTTAAAAAGCTCATTCCGCGCATGGCGCGGATTATCATCTAGTAACTTAAATATTTATGAATTGAATGATTTGTTCTTGTTAGACAAGTTTATATCTTCAAACTATAATACAGATGTATGGTAGGTAGGGATATTTTGTCTAAGATATATACGTAAATTTGAATATGTTAGTAAATGTCTACATATAAACTTGTCGAAGATATAAACTTGCATAAACGTCTAAGATATGAACTTCCATAGATGTCTAGATATGATAAATGTCTTAGATAGTTAAATGGATAGCTGATAAACAAAAAGACTGAAGGTATAAGATATAAACTTTCATAAACCCACACTCCAAGTTGAAGGGTTTAGAGTAAACCAAACCCACAATTCTTTAGTCGTCGATTGAGATTATTGCGGGTAGTCCAGGGCTTGATCTGGCCCTTGGACCAAGCAGATGAAACATGGACTTCCGGTCAACAAATTTATTATTAAATTTTGGTCACATTTTCCAAATAATTACTTTAGTCTATTGGTATAATCTTGTATGTAAGAGAGTCTCATAGGGGGACACCGCATGACCATTTTTGTTTTAGAAAAGCAGATTTTTTTTCTAGCTATAGACTTCCTAGGACCGGATCCTTTATCCTTGCATTCCTCTTAGTCTTCCTCTAGATGATTATTTATAACTGAATTAAAGAAAGAATGAGACTAACTATAGAACCAACGACAAAGACATTACGAGGGGAGAAAACTTTGTCCTCTGTGCTTTCTATTTTTGTGCACTAGTGTAACTGAATTAAAGAACGAATGAGACTAATTATAGAACCAACGACAATGACATTGTGAGGAGAGAAAACTTTGCCCTATGTGCTTTCTTTTTTGTGCACTAAAACAAGAGACTTTTTATGGGTTCACAAGTTGTTGTCACATCTCTTTATTGGTTAAAAAATCGCAGAAAATTCAATGCCAAAACTAATTTGAAGATTGGTAAAATCATATATCAGGAAACATAAAAATAAAGCGTTAGATTTACGCGTATGTACAGAATTGTGTTTTTAGATTCAAACACATGTACATAAGAATTACCAGCTATACTAAAAAGAATAGATAAGTTGCAAAAATACTGTCAATGACTAGTCCAAACTTGCAAGATAAGTTATGTCACATCCTCCATATCACATCAATTTCACAAAACATTCTGCTGATCTGTTTACTGTTTGACCAAAGTTGAAATAAATAGGCAGATAGCAGTTTAACTATAATTATACCCTATGAAAGATCATTCACTAAGAAGAAAGTATAACTGATGATGAATTAATAATTTTATCATCATTATAGTTCAAATTACAGAAACTGATATTGGCAAAACAAAAGATTTTCCCTTGAGTTATTCATTAACTCAAACGTTACGCGCAGATGAAATGAAGTTTCGGATAGAAGCAAACAGAGTTTGACTCTTCGATGGATCACCGAGCTCAGTACTGTGAACATTGCCGTTAGTAAAACGCTCCACCACATCAAGTTACAATCTGCAGTTTCAGAAGAAACAATTGTTAGAAGAGAACGTCTTAAGGTCCGAGCAAGAAAGGTATGTTTTCATCACTATATTGATATATATATATATGATGATACAATGCAAATATATATACATGTTGAAGTGAAGAATTTCCCATCTCAAGTTCTCAAGCGTCTAGTTATTAGGCCTCATTTAGAAATAACAACTTGGACACGGAAAAAAAAATTTGCAGTGATTTAGTGACATATCTCTAAGAAATTTGTCAACATTCCAGACTACGTGTAATTTCTATATTAGTGTTTTTATTATGGAAATGAAAATAATTGCATTGTTTGTAGGCGCAATTGTTCAATGAGCAGTTGGAGAAGCTAAACGCAAAGGTACAAGTACAATGCCATTATGTTCATAATGTGTGTATATAGTTTTGTTTAGTAGCATTGTTAGAGAGAACGTCCGGTTACATCAAAAGGTAGGTCTTACATTCCGTTTCATATATAAACCATTTCTAAGAAAAGTGAGTTTTTTCACTTAATTTTGCGTAAAATTTATTCAAATGTAGGAAATTACAACATATTATCTGTATACAAAATTCAATTCATATTGCCCTTTTTAGATATAAATGTGTATGATGCAATTTTGTGTGGTTGACTCAAAACGCAATCTATGTTATGAACAGACTGTTATAGATCCATGGAGAGGGTCGATTGATCATCAAGAGAAATTCAGTGTCATAGATCTGAATTTGGAAGTTAGAAAACACTTGAAATAACCTCATATGTTATTTAACCAAAACAGTATAATATTTTCTGTTTGTATATTCATCATCATATCTATAAAACTCTTCAATAAATTGCGAGGTAATGATGTGTAATATTATCTTATGATTTTAATCCTTACACAACTAATAAGAGAATACAACTAACCAAAACAGTATAATATTTTCTTTATGCCGTTATTCGTCAAAGTGTGGAACATTAGTGGAACATATTGTTTATGCAGGCCATGACTCTAAACACAAATATCAACATGGTACACAGCATAAATCTCAGAAATGTCCAGAACTTGATTAAAATCCCCATAAGTATCCACAGGGAGCCTCTTAAGGTAGGTGATAGAGATAGCTGCCTAACAGACTTCCATAGACTGACTCTGTCGCTTCTTTCATTGTACGCATACACAAAGCCCACCGTGAAGGCTTCGAGTGAAACCGGATTGAACACACCACACACCATAATCTGCGGTATCTTTAAGTACACCACCACTGAGAGAGCTGAGCTCCAAATCACAATAATACGACCGTTCTCCGCTTCTGAACTATGATTCAAATCATAAGACCAACCTGAGAAGGAATTTGACATCACACTAGCCAAATTTTCCTGCTTCACATGAGTTTCCAAAAGGGCGCCAATCAAAGGCCGACTGGTGCGGATCCACCTTTGCACATTTATTCTTCGATTATTGCTGTTAAGTTCCAAGAAAATCACTTCATGGAAAGACAAAAGGTGGGGTGGTGAAGCACTAAGTTTCCAAAAAAGTTGAAGCTTGCTTGGGGAGCACAGCTTCAACTGAACCAACGACGAGAGGAGCAAAACGATTAGTTACTGAAACCCCTGAATTTTCCAGAACAGGAGCTTGGACATTTTTGCTTTTGTCTGTCTTTCCAGATGGAGCTTTGGATCCAACTCGAACCCATTTGGAAGAGATTTTCTTTGACACAGACTTAGGAGAGCCAACTGGGGAGCCTGGTAAACTGAGAGACCGCCTTAATAAAGCCCCACCAGAAGAGGAAGCAGCTATAGAAGCACGAGCTGAGGAGGGAGACTGAGCTTTAGAAGTTGACTTTGTAGCTACCGGCGAGATCATTGCACCCAAAGCAGGAGGTGGGGTCTCCTCCTCTGCTATCTGAGTCACTGGTCTTGAGGATGCATCTGGAAAACGGAGATCAAAGTGACCAAACTGAGAGCATATCGGGCACTTAGGAGGGAGCTTCAGATAGTCAGCACAAATATTCACCGAGTTCCCCATTTTATCGACGACTTTAACAACTCTTGGTTTCTTCCCATCCAACTTGATGAAAACCTTCAGCTTAATAATCCCATTTGAGTAAGATTTGAGCTTTGGGAATTCAGATTGTACAGGAAACCAACTCCCGACGCGAAGGAGCTGAACCCCTCAAAAGACCATAACTCCTGAGGAATATTTTTGAAAAGAACCCAGACTGGAGCAAACTCAAGTTTCATTTTTGTGAGAACAAAGTTTGGAGACCACTCTGTTACCGTAAAAGAACAATTACCAGAGTGCCAAAAACCAACATCAAGAACCCATTGCCGAGTAACCTCGCAGGGGATGAAGATCATGTAGACTCCTTTAGAGTAATGTTTGACCTTGATTCGACCTTTCTTACCCCAGATTGGATTAAGATCATTGAAAACTTTCGTTAGGGAAGGCAGATTTCCATGGAACTGAGCAACTCGGTAACCTTTCCACGTTTGGGTAGGACGAAGAACAACTGATTTCGGAGCCTGCACCACCGGAGTACCATCCGCAGGGAAGGATGGGGAAGCCATTTTCCTCAGATTATGAGACGAAGATTTAAGCTTTGAGCCCCAAAGTGCCGAAGAAGGCGAAGTAGGAGGGACATGAGCTACAGTCGTCGTAGAGGTCTGCAAAACACTGGGAGTCGCAGGAGGGACCACATGCGGAGGCGGAGGAGGAGCTTCTGGGTGAAGCAGAGATGAAGACAATATATCTGAGCGGTAAGGATCTCGATGAACAACGCACAGATCCGGGGGCCAAGGAGGCTCACGCACGAGCAAGAGTGAAGAAGCCATGAAGACCGGGAGGGAGGAGAGTTCTCAGCGGGGTGCGTGAGGCACCAGCACCGGCGGCGAGAAGAAAGGAACCTTATCGCCTAAGAATTTCTTCAGAGAGCGCGTGTTTAAAACCCTTCAATTAACCTATACTTCATATACAAATAAATGGTCCCCAAACGAGCATCTATTTTCCATTGTTTCGTCCAAGTGTGGAACATTGGAGAACTCTCATGTTATTATAAATGATAAAAACATATTATAAGGATTTAAGTATAACAGTATTACTTTAAATTGTTTCATGAGATTCATATTTATTATTTAACAAAACTCTTTGTATTATGCTGAATAAGTATTACAAATCTTTTTTCATTAATATGTATAATTTGCCTTATGTAAAACTTGGAACGATCAACTGAGTAAACTCACAAATAAAACTTTTATGTAGAGTTCTAAACAAAATCGAGAGATGTCTAACAAAAGAGAGCGAGCCTCTTGGGTCTCCAATATTTATCTTATTTATAAATTTTCCACAAACCAATACATAAAGGTGATCTTTAAATGGGCATAAGATATGGGGCTGGCCTCTCATATAAGGCTCTTTATTTTATGGAACTTAAAAAAAAAACTCTAACGGTGGAGAAGAGTAAATAAAACTTGGCATGAAAGCAAACATAGTTTCAGTCTTGTTAGGATCACCACCGTCGGTAAAATGCTCAATCACATAAACTCCGTTCTCCTTCATCAACTTCGCCACGTCTCTCTGCCTATCTATCATTGCGCCTCCTCTTTCTCCAGTAATAATCACCTTCCATCTCAACATTATCTCCATATTACCCGCTCTATCTCCCATCCTCGGATTTGAATACTCGTGATCTCGGTCAGCTCCGTCAGGGAGACAAAGCTTCCAGCAAAGGTCTGTGAGAGCAAGCGGAAAATGCTGATCGTTCACATGTCTGAGCTCAGACTCGCACCGCTCTTGGCCACCGAAAAAGGGATCGAGTAAGATCAATCCACGGATACATAACGGAGTTAGATCTTCCTCGGTGGATCTAATTCCAACGTTGTAAGCCACGTTACCACCGGAGTTTGTCCCCATGAGGAACACTTCAGAAAGATCTACGTAAGTTTTGATCCACCCGTTGTCGGGTAAGTTTTTAATCCATTTCAGAGCATGCAATCCGTCGTCGTACGCCGCCGGGAGTTTAAACTCGGGAGCTTGCCGGTACGAAGCTGACGCGACGACCACGTTGAGCTTAAGCGCCATACAGTTGCAGAAGCCGTGGACTGGTTTGAGATCAAAGCTGCCGTTGATGAATCCTCCATCGTGGAAGTAAACAACGAGAGGGAGTTTTCCGCCGTTCGGTGCGGTAATGGGGGCGTAGAGACGCATCCATGTTGACTTTGATTGGTTCACTTTAAAGTCTTTGGATACGACGAAGTCAGGTGTGGGTGGGACGCGGGGGAATTTGGTTCGGTCGGAAGTGATGGTGCCATCTGGATTCCTTACAATGCCTAGACGAGCGTAAGGGTCACAGGGTTGAGATGATTCAGACATATCTGTTGTTGTCTTTTTGGGTTTAGAGTCTTCTGTTGTGTATGAAACTGATTCTTCTTCACTCTTGTCCCATTTTATAGTGCTAATAATCTATTCTACTAAAATAAAAATTAACACATATAATCTTTTCTAGAATATCATATTTGATTTTATTCTCATTAACATGTTAGCATATTAAGATATAACATCTTATATAATCAATACATATAACAACTTCACCTATAATTTTTAAATTTTTAACTATATAAATTATGTTGAAAGAATCTAAAAAAAATCTTACAAAATAATTTAAATATTTTTATATTTTTTTCCTAAAAATGGACTTTTTCTAGGATATTATTTGATTTTAGACAGATTGACTTCCTAAGTCACATTTTAAATTTGTGTTATACTATAAGTCACATGTTACTACTTAAACACTTTCTTTAACTTTTTCAATTCATTTCTAACCAAAACCTAACTAAATCATATTAGTAGGACCCACTTATAGGTGATTTTTTAATTTAAAATAGACTTTTTTAGGATATCATATTTGATTTTATTCTCATTAACATGTTAGCATATTAAGATATAACATCTTATATAATCAACACATACAACAACTTCACCTATAAAATATTTTTAAATATATATTTTAACTATATAAATTATAAAGAAAGAATCTACTAAAATCTTACAAAATAATTTAAATATATTTATATAATAATACATCAATTTATTTCGTAATTAGTACTATAATTTTATTCAAATCAATGTTTAATTAAAATCTTTATATATCAACAATATCGAATAAATGAAACAAAAAAATTTATAGAATTACATTATATAGATAATTAAAATATAAATAAGATATTTAAAATGTTTACGATTATATCAAAATTATACATTTATAACATTGGCAGAAAGTGCTCTATAAATTAAAAAAATAAGTTCAAGTCTTGTCAGATTGAGAAACGTACATATGTTTTTTTTTTCTAAGAAGAAGTTCCTATAATTTTGACTTTTGAGAATAAGATAACTGAATTATTAATTAGTAATGATCCAATTGATATTTACATACTATATTGACCCATTTATAAGATGTATATTGTTTTAATAGATAAATATATTTCTATATTAAATAAATCCCAATTTAAATTTATATATGTTTGAATTACAATTACATAAAAATATATGTTCTAATAATATAGGTTCAATTCTAACATATTAAAAACAAAAATCAAGTTTTTTATTACTCAGTAGCTTATTTTATCATTTTTATAAATGTCAAATACTAAATGCTTAAAGATTAGTGTATATGAATATTTTAAATTGTCATAAAATTCAATAAACTTACTAAAGAATAATTATTTTTTAATACTACTTATAACTTAAATTGAAATTAGATTTATTTGTTAATTTTAATAATAAAAAGGAAATATAAAATAATTTTCAAAATTTTTGGAACTTTGCATATAGTTTGTCAAATAACTAAACACAAATCCAACAATATATATATAATAAAAAGCAAAAAAATACATGTGATTTTGAAATAATTAATTGAATAAAACAAATAAATTATAAAATTTAGATATTTGAAAATAATATAAATAATTATATATATATATATATAATAAATGAAAAACAAACATCCACACGGTCTTGCGAGTCCAATTCTAGTATCTTATTAAAACTGAATCATACTTTGTCTGTTCAAACGAGATATAAAAATGTAGATCGATATATCTCTTTTTAAACGAGATAAACGAGATATAAAAATGTAGATTTTAATTTGTCTGTTTGATCATCAGCACGTGGAAGACGATCGAACGTTTGAAAACATTGCATGTAATCAAAGTTTGAGATGAGCATTCTCCATTTGCTGAGCATTCTCCATTTGCTGAGCATCCTCCACATCACCTTGTAACCCACAATCTATTATAACAAAGAATGATCAAAGATTTAAATAACACAGTTACACGTAGATATACACAGCAAATCAAATCATCAAGCGGTGATTTAACAATTTAATAAACCCGATTTTGTCACCTCGAGTTCCTTGAAATAGTGAAAAGTATTTGGAAGCACAAAGATTTGAAGTTATAAAATTGATAAACAGAAACCAAGAATACACAATTTAAGGGTTCAAATGGTAACCGCAGTTGTTGTCGGGTTTAACACTAAAATAACAAGCTCCCCTAAAAAACCGCAGTTGTTGTCGGGTTTGATCAAAAAAAAAAACCAAGCTCCTCTAAAAACATGCATCAAATCTCATTTTTGAGAAATTTTTGTCCAAACTTTTAACAAATTTTCTGACTACCATTAAGTGTATTAGGAATCACAATATAAGTGAAATAAACAAACTGGGAATATAATATAATGTACATGTTTGAGTCGATTTGAAGAAAACGAAATAGTTCATTTTTCAAATATATAAGACTTTCAGATTCACAGTCAAATACCACGTTTTCAGCCTTTCTTTTATCACAATATAAATGAAATAAATGAACTAGGAATATAATATAGTGTACATGTTCATATTTCTGACTAGAACTTGTTTCTTTTAATCATAAAAAACTGAGGTATTTTTGTCCAAACTTTAAACAATTTTTATGATTACCATTAAGTGTATTAGAAATCACAATACAAGTGAAATAAACAAACTGGGAATATAATATATTGTACATGTTTGAGTCGATTTGAAGAAAACGAAATAGTTCATTTTCCAAATATATATAACTTTCAGATTCACAGTCAAACACTACATTTTTAGCCTTTCTTTTATCAAAATATAAGTGAAATAAACGAACTGGGAATATAATATAGTGTACATGTTCATATTCTTAGATACCTTCTTAAAGCAATGTTATTTTGCTAATAATATAAAATTTATTATAAAAGCTTATAAATATATTTAAATTTAATAATTTTCATTTGAAATACTTTGAGTATAGTTGTACATTTTAAAAGGGGGAATTTCACTTTTACATTTCATTTGGTATCATTATTCATGTTTACCTTTTCTAAGTGGAAATTTTCAAAAATATTAAATATGAGGTTCCATTAAGAAGACAAAAGACATTTATGCCATTGACTTACTAATATAAATAAATAGTTCAAAAAATAAAAAAAATAAATTTTAAAATATTTTTTTTTTAAGTTTTTGTTGTTTTTTCAATTTCAAAATTTTTAATTATTTTTTTGAATTCATTTTTCGAAATTTTTTTGTTTCCGATTTTTTTTAGTTTCATTTCCAAATTCAAAAATTCTTTTTGAAACTATTTTCACGTTTTATTTTAATTTTAAATATTTATTTATATTTACTAAAATTCTAAACCCTATCATCCAAAACCCCACCCCTCAAATCTAAACCATAAGTTTAGATTAGTTAATCCTAGGGTTAGAAAAGTCGATTTACCTCTTTAAAATTAAGGGTAAATATAGTTAAAATAAAGATGAAAAAATATGCTAAGAAACTGCTAGTTTTGACAATTTCTCATATTAAAATCTTGCCATATAGTTTTATAAAGTTGACCGATTAAATTTATAATCTTCCAAATTATTAAAGACATGTGTAAAAAATTATACAAAGTATATCCGTGAAATGAAAACATCTCAAATATAATAATTTCAGATTATATAAAAAATAAAAATACATATTTAAAAGTACAAAAAGTATGTTATATACTATCTTAAAATTAATCATCGGATAGATAAGTTGTTGTGTGGAAAAGAAATTCAAAAAAAGTTATGCAAGAGAACAATAATAACCAATTGCTCATGAACGACCAAAAGTTTTCTCCACACATAAAATCTTCAACTTCTATCAAATAAATGTTGCATGATTTTATTTATAGTTTAACTATTCCTAAAATTATATCACAAAATAATATATTTTAATATTTAAAAATTATGTAAGAATCATTGAAATGTAGATGTTTTATTTGTAATACAAATTATCTAATGAAATTAAAATTACTCATTCACCATTGAAAAACCAATGCTCATTCACCCACACTATAATTATTGATGTACACACCAACTATAATTTATCTTAAATAAATATTGGTATAAATATATTATATAATTTTTTTTAGATATTACCATATAGTTTTACCCAAGATGACTAATAAACTTTAAAATCTTCCAACTTTTCATAGAAATGTGTAGAACATTATGCAAATTATATCCATCAATTGAAAACATCTCAAATATAATAAATTCATGTTATATAGAAAATTAAAAAAATATAGATTTAAAAGTATTACAAAGAAATGTTATATAGTATCTCATATGTCAATCGTATTCTATAAATGAAGATCTATTTATTTAGAAAAAAAAATAGTCAAGAAAACATGGTAAAATTTTTATTTTATCACTCGTTTTCTAATTTTAACGTACTTGTTGTATCAACTCTAATATGCATATTATATAGTTCAAAAGGAAATTAATTATAGCACTAAGAGTTTTGTATTATGTAATTCAGATATACAAACAATATGTATAATAATGCTAAAATTTGAAATAAAATCATAGAAAATAAGCTAAAGTCCTAGTAACATCTAATGAGAGAAAATTAAGGGGTAACATTATTTTAAACCTCTTTGAAGAATGTAAATAAATATTATTATCCTTACTGTGGTATACAATATATTATATTAAATATTTTTGATATTACCATATAGTTTATCTTATAGTTTATATAAGAAAAGTAAAAATAAATTACAGTTGGTGTGTACATTAATAACTATAGTGTGGGTGAATGAGTATTGGTTTGTCATTGGTGAATGAGTAATTTTAGTTTCATTAGATAATTTATATTACAAATAAAACATTTACAATTCAATGATTCTTATATAATTTTTAATATAAAAATATATTAATTTGTGATCTATTAGTAGGAATAGCTAAACTATAAATAAAATCATGCAACATGTATTTAAAATAAATTGAATATTTTATGTGTGGATAAAACTTTTCGTCATTCATGAGCAAATTGGTTATTATTGTTCTCCTGCATA